ACACACCATTCTAACTGATGAACACATCATCATATATCTTAAAGAAATTGCTGAACAAAAGAACATAGAAAGGAAAATGGCGTACATAATACACTCTTGGCCTTTCTTTATGACAGCACTTCTTAAGGTGTTTGATGAAAACAAGTCACTGAATGCCAAATTTGACACGTACAGTGACGATCTGGGCATTCAAAATGGGAAATACCAAGATTTACTTGCTGAGCATAAAACTCGTCAGGCTGATCATGAAAAAGAAATGAAAGCTTTGACGGATAAATATGCACAGGAAATAAATCAGCTTAAAATGCAATTGGATGAGTATGAAAAGGAGAGTCAGAAATTAGACAGTGAGGTTAGTAGTCATCATTCTGTGCCAAAAAGTTGCACAAAGATGCAAGAAAAGACTATCTGTAACTCCCCTCCTTATTATGATTTCCCCACACCAAACCAGGTTTTCATAAAACAGTCTGTAAGTAAAGATGTGAGTAATTCTGAGAAAACACCTGTAGATTCTTGGCAATCTTGGGCAGAACAGTTTGAAAAAGCTGTCTTAGCCAAACTTGAGAGGAAGAATCAAATTCAAGGTGATAGGAATGAAAACAGACATGGTTCTGTACACTGGCAGGATTCTGATGCTGATCGGAATTGTGACAGTGAACAAGAAGCTCAGAGTGATGGGAGTGAAAGTGATTGCACTGTCCACTCTGAAGGCCATAACTGATATGCCATCTGCACTGTTGTACGGGTCTAATTCCTCTTCAGCAGACAGATCGCATAGACGTTTACCCAAACACAGAAACAGAGGTCGTAAATCAACGATGCCTGTTTATGAAACGCCAAAGGTTATTAAATTCCTTAGAGAGACTGTCCCACAACTTTCTAGAGGTTCAGGAAACATATCTGAACATCTGGAAAATTATGATAGAGCAATGAATTCATTGGGCATGTATGATGACATTCATAAGAAATGGTTCATTACATGGACCTTTGATTCAATGTGCCGTGTTTATCTAGAAAGTCTTCAAGCTATACAGCTAATGTCCTGGTCCAAGATGAAATATGAAATAATCATGGAATATGGTAAGTATAAAACCATTGCCTCTGCTAAGAAAGCGCTTTATAATTTAATTATTATAATTCTTAAAAATGCAAACTCCGTGGCCCAAAGAAAACCCAGGTATGAAAGCACAGACTTCAAAGATCTGTATTTTAATGCCATGCAAATGAATCTCGCAAGAGATTACGATTGTAAGTTACCATTAGAATGGCTAGTCAGTCAGTGCATGAAATTGTATACTATACACCATGCACATGATGAAAATCAGCCAAAGGTTAAGAAACCTGGTGATAAAATGGTGTCAGAGACTAAAATGCAGTTAGGTTTAGAAACCCAACAGAAAAAGAGGACCTATTCTGAGGTTTTGAAAACACCAAAACCTCAGAAACAGGAAAACGCAGGAAGCAATTCTGCAAATTCCTCTGAAAATAACTCTGAAAAGTCCAATGCCAATGAGAATAAACGCAGAATTTGCAGAATTGCTTCCTGCGTTTTCCTGTTAATAAGAACCAAGGCAATTTCCAATGGAGAAGGAATCCTCAGGGAAATAGGAGATATGGAAACAGAAACAACCAATCTGCTTCCAGTAACTCCCAACAGTCTCAGCCATCCCAGCCAAATTTTAATGGGCAAAGACAAAACGGCAATGGGGGAAATAATTTGCGTCGTCAGGTTGGTCAATTGACAGACCAGATGGGCAAATTAATGGAGGAAATGACAAAGATTAACCAAGTCTTTGCCAGAAATCCTTTTTTAGGGATAACTCCAATTGTAGAGCCACCTGTGCAACTGCAACAACAACAGGTGCCGCAGCAATAATAGCTACTGTGACTAAACAGGCTAGGTTATCAGTAGATGTAATGCCTAACCCTGTTTCCTTTCCAGGTACTAACAGTCATATAAACAATAGTTGTGTTAGGAAACCTATTGCCTATCCCGTCACTTCACTTCCGGGTTCCTCTGTTTTTTTCATTTCAGCCAAAGGCTAAAATAGCCCCAGCAGCCACTAGTTTCCAGGATCCAGACCTGAAAGGGTTAACTTATGAGATGCCGACCACTAGTTCCCGCTTGACAGTTCAAGATGTTCCTAAAAAGGATGGGCCTGTGGGTAAGACTGAGCATTCCTCAGTACAGGTAGGACCAGTAATGTATGGAAAACGAGTGATACGTTGACACATTCTAACTTCTTATGTGAATTAGAAGAACATGAAGGAAGGTACTACATGTCTGTAGAAATACAGGATTCGCTACCCCAGCCTTTCAAAGGGTTAATAGATACTGGTTCACAAGCCACTATCTTATCCAATACCTACTTCCAGCAGGTAATGGACTTGGCAATGGATAAGCCGAAGCTAAGAGATTTCCCCAATGCTCTGTTGAGTGTAGGAGGAAATGCCCTTCATGTTATTGGCAATACCTGGTTAAAGTTTAAAATAGGTAACAAAACCTTTAGACATCCGGTGATAGCAGGGGCGTACCTAGAGCATTTGGCACCCGGGGCGGATCCTCCCAAAAAACCTGTAAAAAATGTTAAAGGTTTTATTTCTTTTATTTTTACAATTTGTAAACTTTGCAAAACCGCTGTCAGCCCCTCCTACAAAACCTTTGTCCTGCCCTTCTACAAATCCTGTACTGCCCCATCTACAAAACCCCCGCAACCCCCTTCCACAAATTCCCTGCTTATCCCCCCTTATAAAGACTCCTGTCCCAATACAAAACCCCCACCCCCTTCTACAAAATCCCTGCAGCCCCACACACACATTTACAGGCAGACAGTCACACACTCAGTTACAGACAGACAGTCACACACTCAGTTACAGACAGACAGTCACACACTCAGTTACAGGCAGACAGTCACACACAGTCACAGGCAGACAGTCACACATACACATTTCCTCCGTGCGGCCAGTTTATCAGCTGTTTGCTTGAGTGAGCTGTACTGGCCGCACGGCACCCTAACTACCATGGGACACTGTGCGGCCACAGCTCACACAGCCCCCTCCAGCCAGGGCGGTACAAGGATTTTTGCCTAGGCAAAAGTAAAGTTTGCCGCCCCCATGTGACATCACAATGCCCCAGCCATATGATTTGCCATGTTAACTAACGCCAGTGCTGCAGTTACGCTGTGTTTACATTAAAAGGCCTGCAGGGACAGGCTATAGACACCAGAACCACTACATTAAGCTGAAGTGGTTCTGGGGACTATAGTGTTTCTTTAATGTGAGGTAAATTAGAGCTTAGTGCCACGAATAATATACTAGATTGCCTACTTACAACCAGATGATGGGCTCTAGCTGCAGTCTGGCTCCACTGGTCTGGTGCAGAACAGGCTCTCTGGAGGCGGTTTGTAACTGTGGTCACAAAAATCAATGTTCTGGGAGAACGGGAAGCAGCTCCATTTTTTGGGGGGTCCTTTACACAGCTCAAGGTCTGGGTCCCAGGGTCCACCTTCATGTTCCACCAATGAGTTTGTTCACAGGGGGTGGAGTGTGTAGGGGATGTCCTGATATGTGTGTAAGGAATGCATTGTGTGAAATTGTGTTTGTATGTGTAAGGACTGCAAGGTGTGTTTCTGTGTATGTATGGGATGCATTGAATGTGTGTAAGGGGTGCATTGAGTGTGTGTAATGAATGCATTGTGTGTTTCTGTGTGTGTAAGGGATGCATTGTGTGTAACGGTTGCATTGCTTGTGTATGTGTGTGTGTGTCTGTGTGTTTTTCTGTGTGCAAGGGGTGCATTGTGTGTATGTGATGAATGTCAATCTCTCCTCCCGCTCCAATTTCCTTCTCCTCCTCCCAATTTCTCTTTCTCACCCCCCTCCTAATTTCTCTCTCACCCCCGCCCTATTTTCTCTCACCCCATTTCTCTTTCTCACTTATTTCTCTCTCTCACCCCCCTTATTTCTCTTTTCTCACTTATTATTTCTCTTTCTCACCCCTTATTTCTCTTTCTCACCCCTTATCTCTCTCTCACCCCCCCTTATTTCTCTTTCTCACCCCTTATTTCTTTTTCTCACCTCTCTCACCCCCCTTATTTCTCCCTCTCCCCACCCCTTCTTTCTCACCCCCCTCCCCCCTACCTCCCTGTAGCGTGGCCGAGCCCTGTATAGTCCGCGGGTACAGGGAGCTTTTGTTTCCTGTACCCGGCCGGACTAACAGGAAGTGCACACTCAGTGTTCCCTTCCTGTTAGTCCGGCCGGGTACAGGAGACAGCTGCTCTCTGTACCCGTCGGACCATGCTGCAGTGAGGGAGCTGACAGGAGCGCTCCCTCCTGTCAGCCTCTCCTCAGGCTGCGCCCGGGCGGTGCGGTCCGCCCTCATGGACGCACCGCCCGGGCAAAGCTGCAGCCGCCTGAGGCTCTTCACAGAGCGCTCGGGCGGCTGCAGCATGGGGGGGGGCTGGTCATGGCACCCCCTACCCGGCTGGCACCCGGGGCGGACCGCCCCCCCCGCCCCCCCCCTAGTACGCCACTGGGTGATAGTGGTAGATCTCCCCTATGACCGACTGATTCTGGGTATAGACATACTCAGAAGACTTAACACAATTATTGACTGTGTAAATGGAATTGTATGGTCACAAGCTAAGGTTCCCATAACCTATGAGAAATCACATGTTCAATCTGATCGTAACTGCCATGTGATAGAAGAAAGACCTGACTCAATTGAGGTACATTTTAGGAATAGTCAGTCACCTGACGTGACTATCCTGCAGGTGAATGATACAATCGCACCTGTAGATGAGCATTCCGTAAGAATTGCTCCAGAGAGGATCCAGAATGTCTCTCTGGAAGGTGATGTTTTAACCATTTCTCTCCACAGGGACTATGTTGAATCTGTAGATCTGGCAGGTCATGCTCAATTCCTTGCCAGAATTGAAAGGGTTAATAACAACTTATTCTTTCCTATTCAAATAAATGACTTAGGAAGAAGTAAGAATGCAAAGCTGGACTTAAAGAGTGAGAACAGCTATATTAGCAGAAGTCTGTTAAAGCAGATCGCTAATCCTAAAATGATCAGGTACGCTTCCCCACATGACGGGTGGATCCAGAATCTGGATGGCGAATCAGAGAGTCACAATGTGATAGCAAAATGTTTACTATCTATTTCCATCAGAAATAAGACCGTTAAACATTTATTCCTAGTGATAGACAAACCTTGCTATCAGGTTTACGTTGGCAATGATGTCATACATCGCTTTGCCATACACCTTGACCTGATTAATTCCAATTTGTGGACAAGGTTAAAAGGTAATCCTTGTGGATACCTACATGAGGAAAACGCCCTGAAATCAGTACAAATACTCCCATATGCGGTAAGTATCCAAGTACCTGATGACATAACCATTCCACAGGGGACAAGTAACTTTCTTTTACCCCTACAGGTCAAGGAGGGTCAGAGATTAGAAAACTCTGATGCCCTAATCTGTTTATCCAACAGGATACAACAATTAGGGATGGTGGTAACACATACACCAATGGTAAGTATTGGTAAGAATCCCACCTATATCATGGTCAACAATGTTATACTCAATAGTGTTACTTTACCAAAAGGAACATTGTTAGGTCTAGCATTGGATGCTGAGTACTATACATTTGGTTTCCAAAACCAAATTATAGGCCTCATCCCTGAAGAATACTTAACTGAGGATGAAATTGTCGATCAAACATTCCATTCCTCCCCAGAAGGATTATTCACTATCCCTTTAACGTCGAAGAAGGCTCGTGTAAAATCGAAGAAGCATCAATAACCTTCGATCATCCACTCAATGAGCAGGAACCACAAGAGTATCTCGACCAAAGAGAAAAGGTAAGTCAACACCGAACTGACCTAACTTCTAGGCTTGAAGAAGCTTATGAGATAGGCCAGCCTGAAATCTTTCCAGGATTTCAGGAAAGGCTAGAAGAGCAAATATCTTTAGCTGACGGTTGCTCCAACGATGCTGAGCAACAGCAGCTAAAGGAAATCCTTTTGGAATTCCAAGATATTTTTGCCAAAGATCCCTACGACTGTGGGTTAACTAACCTCCACGTAGCCAGAATACAAACCGATCCAAATTTACCACCTGTATTTATCAAACAATATAGACTCCCATTAGCGTCATATGATGGTCTACAAGACATCATTCAGAATTTAAAGGAAAGGGGCATTATACGTCTAGTGCACAGTTCGTATAATAATCCGATCTTGGGGATTCTGAAACCTAATGGACAATGGCGTTTATGCGCTGACTTACGGCAGCTAAATAAACGCGTCTATATGTCTGGTTGGCCAGTGCCATACATAGACCAATGTTTGGTAAAAATGCAGGGATCCAAATTATTCACTTCCATTGACTGTGTGCAGGGATATTGGACTGTACCAGTCCATAATGAAGACCAATACAAATTGGCCTTCACATTTGGAAAGCAGCAGTATACCTGGACCCGTATGCCTTTCGGTTATATAAACTCTGAAACTCTGAATTCCCTGTGTTCATGCATAAAGCTATGCCTGACGCACTCGAGAGAGGAACGTTATCATATGTCGACGATGTCTTGCTGAAAAGCACTTCCTTTGATAAGCATATCTTAGAGATTAGACACTCACTCAGTTAAGAGAGGCAGAGATTAAACGGTCTTTACAAAAGGCGCAATGGTGTCGCACCCATGTAAATTTCCTCGGACATGAGGTAACTTCTGAAGGATTAAATCCCCAGAGGAAGAAGGTTGAAGCTGTACTAAAGGCTAAAACACCTTCAAACATCAGGGAATTAAGATCGTTCCTTGGTATGACTAACTACTCCCGTAAGTTTATAGATAACTATGCAGAAATAACGAAACCACTCTTACACCTGCTTAAAAAGGAAACTACCTGGAACTGGGGGGAGCCTCAGGACCAAGCGGTAAGTGAACTGAGGAGGAAGCTCACTCAGGTACCCTGTTTAGCATACCCAGAGGGGGGTAAACCCTTCTATCTGGAGACAGGTTATACCGATTTAAGCATCAGTACTGTTCTGTATCAGAAGCAGGACAGTTTAAACAAAGTTATTGCATATGCTAGCAAGACTTTGTCGCCTGTTGAAGTTAAATTCAACACGTGTGAGAAGGCGTTATTGTCGACTGTCTGGGCACTACAAAATTTTCGTAGCTATGTCCAAGGTGAGAAAATAATTGTAGAAACAGCTCACCAACCTCTACAGTATCTGCAGAGTGAAAGAATTAGAGATGGTAATCTCTCTAACAGTCGGATTACTGCATGGACTCTATCCTTACAGGGATGGCTGTTAGAAGTCCGTTATAAACATAATAAGAGAAGCCCAGTTGCCCAAGGTTTAGCAGAATTACATGACTGTACTGCTCCATCTCTGGATGATAACAACACCGGAGATGACTTCCTAGAAGAGCAATTGCTATCTCCTTATAAAGTTTATGACGAGGAATACTGTCGACCACTACCGTGGGTATACATTGATGGTTGTTCATATCACCACGCCGCTGGTGCTGAACGGAAGTTAGTTGCAGGTATCGGAATCGCCTGGATAGGTGATTATCCCAATGTATCTATAGGATACAATATTGGTCCCAAAAGCAGTCAGATAGCCGAAATCTGTGCAGTATATAAGACCATTCAAATGGCAATAAAATATGGTATCAAAGAATTTGTGATCATAACTGATTCCAACTATGTTCGCAAGAGTTTCGTCGAATATCTGCCTAGCTGGAAACGTAACCAAATGCTGAAAAGCAATAACAAACCTGTTAAACATGGGAAATTGTTTTGTAAAATCGATGAACTGGTTAAGGAAAATGGTTTAACCATATATTGGAAGAAAACCAAAGGCCATTCTAAAATAGAAGGTATTGACAAGGATGGTAATGACTTAGCCGATTCACTGGCAAAACAAGCTGCCATCAATGGTGAAACCCTAAACATTGATGATCTTATGGGTTCAATTCATGTTGAAGCCATAACTAGACGACAGGCTAGAGATAATGCCGACTTAAACGTTGTGCAATGGAGTCAAGAAGCTCCTAGTGAGGACCTGATTACTAGTCAAAAGAATGATCCCTTCATAGGCATATTCTATAAACATATAGAAGACCCTACTGCCAATCCCATCACAGATGAGGATTGCAAAGATAATGAAGATTTACGAATCTTGATGAAATCTAAAGTCCAATTTAGTATCATGGATGGGTTGCTGGTCAGAACTTCTAAACATGGTATACAACAATGGGTAGTCCCAACTGTATACAGAGGGTTAATGCTCCAACACGCACATGATGCACCCACATCTGGGCATCGTGGTGATAAGATCACATATGAGATATTGCGTGATTATGCATATTGGCCACACATGTTAAGGGATGTTAAGACATACTGTCAGGGATGCTTGATTTGTCCGCAATATCAACCCCATGGTCCAACCCATCGTGCACCACTTCAGAAGAGGGGGGTGTCATTACCCTGGTCTGATATTCAAATTGACTTTATAGGTCCTGTAACAAGATCTTCAAGAGGTAACAAATACATGTTAACTGTTACATGTATGTACACAAAGTGGATAGAGTGTTTGCCTTGTAAAGAGAACACGAGTACTGTGTGCGCCACTTTGTTGATTAACCATGTCTTTTCCAGGTTCGGTCTGCCTCAAAGAATTGAGTCAGACAGAGGTAGTCATTTTACCAGCAAAGTAATGGCTAAGATGTGGAACATTCTAGGTGTTAAACGAAAGCTACATATTGCATACCGCGCTGCGTCTAGCGGGGGGGGGGGGGTAGAGCGATATAACCAGTCTATCGTTAATATTCTGAAGAAATATGTTAAAGGACCACTATAGTGCCAGGAAAACATACTCGTTTTCCTGGCACTATAGTGCCCTGAGGGTGCCCCCACCCTCTGGGACCCCCTCCCGCCAGGCTCTGGAAGGGGGAAAGGGGTAAAAACTTACCTTTTTCCAGCGCTGGGCGGAGAGCTCTCCTCCTTCTCTCCTCCTCCGTTCCGCCCCGCCGGCTGAATGCGCACGCGCGGCAAGAGCTGCGCGCGCATTCAGCCCGTCGCATAGGAAAGCATTTACAATGCTTTCCTATGGACGCTTGCGTGCTCTCACTGTGAAAATCACAGTGAGAAACACGCAAGCGCCTCTAGTGGCTGTCAATGAGACAGCCACTAGAGGGAATAGGGGGAAGGCTTAACCCATTCATAATTATAGCAGTTTCTCTGAAACTGCTATAATTATGAAAAAATGGGTTAACCCTAGAAGGACCTGGCACCCAGACCACTTCATTAAGCTGAAGTGGTCTGGGTGCCTAGAGTGGTCCTTTAAGGAGTCTGGTAAAGAAATATGTTAAGGAGTCTGGTAAACAGCACTGCTACTGTTGTAGAATTATAGAATTTATAAGAGAATGCTTTGTCAGGAAGAAATGTGCGTCAGCGGAACAATGTGTTCATCAAGAATGAAACATTGTGGCCGCTGAGCGACATGTTGATCTCAATAAATTATGTGTCAGCTGAATAATAAAATGTGTATCTCCTAAAAAAAACTTGAAAACTAAGCTTGAAACTAATAATGCCAACTACTCAAAATTGCTGCCAAAGCACCCCTCCCATCGAGTGGACACCTCGTGCTTGTGTCCACTCCCGTGTCAAGGATGACATCACCTCTTAATGGGAGGGCATCTAACTAACCACTTAACACCTGAACCAATCAATAGTGTTTATTTGCTGTTATCTTGAATTCTTCAGTGATGTAAAAATGCCTTTATAAGGGTCTGCGCACCCATTTTCTGTTAGAAGCCATTAAACTTCTCCGAAGTTCTTTCATTAACCTGAACTCTGTGTCTCAGTGTGAATTTACTTCTGCGTGCACGCAACTTTATTATCATTAATTTGGACAGGAACAGATAGTCATTCAAACTAATTGGTTTGCAGAAAATAATCTACTACAATTTGGCGCCTTCAACGTGGGGCTCTGGGTTATGTCCTGCCCGGGCAGCCGTCCAAGAAGACGCGGGGGGGGGGTGAATCCTGGGGGAAGGAAAAGAGCCTGATCACCTCTGAGTACACGGTGGAGACTGCTGCAGCACCTAGCCGGTATGTTCCTACCCCTGTGATTGACCTGTCCCAGTGTCTGTGACTGCTGCCGAGAGGACATCAAAGTCAGGTAATAACTTGCCCAGAGTCTTTATATTGTTAATGATACCTAGTTTACCTGCATGTTGACTATCTGTTGCCTGGGTGTGTTTGTATTGGTTTGTGTTTAGCTTAGTCCCCGGGGAGTGTGAGTGCCTGTTTACCCCTTTTAGGTGCTAGGTGGCTCTAGCAGTAAAGGAAAAAGGGGAGGGGACATGGTGGAAGTCTGTGTGGACTCACTACTTTCTCAGGTCCGGGGTGTCACTTTGAGGGCCTGGCTAGCCTCATTGTGCACGTTACTCTGCTTGCAGAGGGTGAGACACTTCAGCCTCGAGCGCTGACGCTGGGAGTGTTCTGTTAACCTCTCAGTGCCCGCGGATACGGACACTGTTAGGTTGTGGTGGGATTGGATTCGGGCAGGCATTGCTGTTTCCATCACCGTGCGGTAGTGAGACTTGCGGGTGGGTCCGCAACAGGGACACTACGAGGTTGAGGGAGGTGGCTGAGGCCACACGAGTAAAGGAAAGGGACTGTGATGCATGCACTGTATTTTATTTGAAATGTTGTCTTAATTGTCTGTCACACAGATTCCTGTGCTTGATCTTATCTTACTCTCTGTGTTATTTACACTTTCCCCTCTTATTTCTCTTTGTTGAGAGAAGTGATTGGTCACACACTTTTCGCCACGCTCCAATTCCGCGGCTACCTCGGGTAGGCGGAATTAGTGACTAGTCTACGTTTTGGGAAGACGTACGTAGGAACCCACTCTTACGTAGCAGTCGAGCACTGTAGACCTTCTTTTCTCTCTTTCTCTATATCTGGGATGCCTTATATAGGGAGGATGGGACAGAAGTTAGATAAACCCAGTAAGGGTTGGTTAGCATGTGATCTCGTGGAAGACAGAGAAGGAGAAGAGATGGTTAAGAAAGTGAGGAAAATTGCTAAAGTATGTGGAATTACCGTACCTCCATGCGGCAGATTGCAGCCAGAGAGCTGGCGTAAGTTACTGACAGAGAAGAAAGGGAAGCTGTCGGACCACGATTTGGTTCGTACAGCAGAAGCCTGGTACCGAGTAGCAAGAGCTATTCAGCATAAGGGAAATTGGTTGAATTTCGTGAGTTTATTTTGCATCATGTTATTTTAAAGTACATGTTTCTAGAGACAGCTGTATGGGCTGTTAAATGCATAATGTTCTCAACTGTCTTATTTAACCTGTCAGGTTTATTTATAGTTTAGTATTTAAATCTCGGAACTGACTTATTTTATTAGTTGTAATATAGTGTTTTCTTCAAAGTATGTCAGCCACCTCCCTAAAGATGGCGCCTAGTACAGAAGGAGGTTGGCTCTGCCAGTCCCGTGACCTATCTACAGTCACGGTTGCTTCTAAAGTGACGTCACTTCCGCCCTTACCTCCTGTCTTCCTTTCCCACACATATCATGGACGTCACCTCACTTCCTCCCTGCCATCATTTCCTTCCCCGCCCCTGTCATGGCTGCCTCCATCATGAGGCCTACCCCTATTATGCTCGTCCTATTTAGAGACATGTTGTTTTCCTTACACTCTACATATTATGAACAGAAACATTATAATTACTAAAACAATCATGCCATTTGTTTCCCTGTATCAGAAATGTGTCCGTGATAAAAAAAATAAATAAAAAAAAAAGGTTGCTAAAATGTCATTTGCAACTGTGGTGTGACCTACAAATGAGATCTGTTGGACACGAATATAAGAGCATAACAGCTGATTATCTAGATTAATCTTGCAACAAGGGAAATAGCCAAATAATGCAAGTTATTTTAAACATTGAATCTTGCTAGTTACAGATCATATGTTTACAGTAACATCCTTTACGTTAAATAATGGTTTAGTTTTAGAAGGATTAGTGACATGTTTTATTAACCCAGACACTACTGGTTATTCATTTTAGTTACAGGGTGGTATAATTGTTATGGTCTAATTAATATAAATGATAGTACCGCAATAGTTAATGTTTTATCCAAAGACATATAGGAACTTTACTTCACGTACTATCAACCATTATTTATAATGATAGACATGTTCAGACTGCAAAAAGCTATGGCTAATGACATAGAAAGGGGTTAGAGTCAGTAACACAGCCCATACAGAGGTGAGCAAACCCGCTGATGCTTAATGCCCCTGCCACGTGTCTACAGGGGATGGGGGAGGGCCACTAGCCACAGTAGTTCTACCCGTTGAGGATCATCCCACTACTTTCCTGGTTGACACAGATGCAGCCCGCAGTGTTCTTAGAGGAACGATGCTCTTAAATCAGACCCGTTCTGTCTGTCCTCAGAAGCACATGACAACTTCTACACTCTCCAACGTGCTATTGCCTCTGCTCCCGCCCTTGGCTTGCCAGACTACACCAAACCATTCAAATTATTTGTGTCTGAAAGACAAGGCCACGCTACAGGAGTCCTTACTCAAGCCCATGGACCTGGCAGCCGCCAAAGGCCTATTGGCTTCTTCTCTTGCCAACTAGACATTGTGGCTAGAGGAACCCCCTCTTGCCTCCGAGCTGTTTTTGCCGCTCAGGAACTCATCACCCGCACTGGGGACCTGGTTCTTGGCCACCCTCTGACTGTTTTGGCACCTCATGATATTTCTGCCATACTTAACCAGGTCCAACTCAAACATGTCACCCCTGCCAGGCACCTTCGTCTCCAATGTCATCTCCTGTTACCTGACAATGTTACCCTTCAAAGATGTCAGGTTCTGAATCCGTCCACTCTTCTGCCACTCCCTGAGGGGGGTAGCTACTATGGATTTATCATGGATGAAGGCTATGTCCTACTCCTTACCCACACTATTAAAAAAAATGCACCTCAATTTACCCGTCTGTGATGGGCCAGAATATGCCTTCTGTACCATGTGGTACAAGCCAACCATCAACCCTGACCCAACTATGGGCCACCATGGATGAACTACAGCTCCAAGAAAAAGGCGTTGTCAAGTACCCAACAACTGAACATGTAAAAGCATGGCCACGGTACTTTCTGGAAGAAGAATTTGAAGATCTGGTCATAAAGCACGACTATGATCCAGAAACGCCCCGTAACTGTTTTGAACAGATGAAAATGGAAACAACACATTTGCCAACCGTGCATGAGGATCCACTAATAGATCCTGACCTCACCCTGTTTGTGGACGGCTCAAGGTGTGCTGATGAAGAAGGAAAATATCACACAGGATATGCCGTCACCACAACAGATGAAATTATCAAGTCATCATCTCTACCATCAACAATGTCTGCGCAGGAAGCTGAATTACAAGCCCTAACTTCAGCATGCAAGATATCTGAAGAAAAGCGCGCCAATATCTACACAGATTCAAGATATGCACTGGGCGTGGCTCATGACTTCGGATTAATTTGGAAAACAAGAGGATTTCTTACCACTGCCGGTACACCAGTCAAGCACAGTTCTGCAATCAAGGAGCTGATGGATGCCCTCCTACTCCCAGAAGAAGTGGCCATTCTGAAGGTAAAGGCACATGGGAAGTTGGATTCGGATGAAGCAAGGGGCAACCATCTGGCTGATCAAGCTGCAAAACAAGCTGCAAGAGAACTACAGGAAGTGGACAGAAGTGTGTCCGGAAACGAAGAAACTCCCACATTTACCTTGCAGACACTTCCAACTGATCTAAAAATCCTACGGGAACAACAGGCTGCAGTTACTCCTGAAGAAATACAAAGATGAAAACAGAAAGGGGCAGTTCTGAAGGATGGAGTGTACTCCAACAACCTCAAGTTCTGCCTCCCTAAGAATTTGTACCCAGCAGTCGTACAATGGGCACACGGACCTGCACATTTATCAAAGGATCTAATGAATGCTCTTGTACAAAAATACTACCTCACTGTCCCCATATGAGATTCTATTTGGGACTGCACCTAGGCTAGGTTGCTATTTTCCCCAACAACTTGTGTTTTGTAGTTGACAAGCAATGGGGACACAACTGTGACCATTGGGGGGCTGCAGGATGGAATACTGGGCCTGCCTGGGGTTACAAGCCCAAAAGTGCCTTATCTAAAGTAGATGGCAATGGTAGATCCCTCCTTCAAAGAATGACTTTAAGAAAGACAGGAGGAGGTCTGCCCATGAAATTAATGTTAAACATTGAGCACCCTGGTCCAAAGGATGCTGACCAATATGTAATGGGAATGTATTGGAAAAGTGGTTCCTATAACAAATTAGGTCATTTCTATCTTAAAGATATGTGCCACTCTCCAGAGTGGCAAGGGGCTGTTCATATGGTCCCAAATCCACTGAAACAACATATCCAGTCTTTTAAGGACATGATGGCCATTGCTAACCCCACCTTCGAAGACACCATGGCCACTGAAACTGGTTATAATGATATCAATCTATGGTTAGAGTGGATGAAATATAATGCTAATAAACATAACAAAACCGCATGCTATGTGTGCGGTGGTGCTCGACCTCATCTTGGCACCGTTCTTCTAACTCTCCCTTTGGAGATAGAGAATTGCTTCCTCAGTCTTTTTGCCTACCGCTATAATTTCAACAGATCCCTCTGCGAATCATGGGCGGCAGAGTACCCCCTCTTAATTGGAAATGTCAAACCCCCAGATGGAATCACGATTTACAAGGGTAATTACACTTGTTATGCTATGACGGGATTGGTAAATTCATGGGTAACTTTTCCAATGGCTATTGTGCCACCTACAGAACTGTTCCTATACGCCTGTTGCAACACCATACCAGGTCATTGGGGGATATTTACTGGTTATGTGGGGATCTACAGTTAAGATCTAGGCTGGAAACTGAGTGGTGGGGTGAGTGTACCCTAGCCAAAGTTATCATGCCCATTCATATTATTTCTGATAATCATCATGACACATACGACCCTCCACATACACCAGCCAGAGTGAGGCGCGAAACCCCAGTAAAAGGCAGTTTTGACCCCCACATTTACATAGATGCCGTTGGGGTACCTAGGGGGGTGCCTAATGAATTTAAATCTAGAGATGAAGTCGCTGTAGGTTTTGAATCACTTTTTACTATAGTCACTGCCAACAAAAACCTTAATTGGATTAACTACATTTATTACAACCAACAGCGTTTTGTCAACTACACCAGGGATGCCCTCCAGGGCCTGGCCGAGCAGTTGCAGGCCACATCCCAGATGACCTTCCAGAACAGAATGGCCTTAGACATGATTCTAGCTAAAGGGGGGTGTATGTAAAATACTACCTGACACCATGACTTGTTGCACTTATATCCCAGAAAACACAGGTCCAAATGGTAAAATCACTATGGCCATAGCGAAGTTAGAGAAACTCTCAGAGGAGTTGAAAAGGAATTCTGGGGTAACAGATCCCTGGGAAAGGTGGTTTGGTTGGATGTCAGGTTGGCAGAAAGCTTTAGTCCATATTGGTATGGCTCTACTAATTTTCCTTTTTGTTCTCGCTCTTCTCGTTTGTTGTGTCCTCCCATGCTTTAGAAAATTCTTACAGAAGACTACAGACCAAGCGACACTAACTCTCATTCATCTGACAATCGATGATCAAGATCTCACCTCACCCTGTATTTCGCTACAAACTCTCCCTTATACTGATAAAGTGCAGATTTTCTAGGAAGGGAACCAGCGCAGGGACAGCATCTGTATCTACAGGCGAGTCTCACGTGCGGAGATGTGGTGGACTAGCCGCTGTGGGTTACCCACGGAGTGAAGTGTTTGATGCTTATTAAGACAGATGAGCTGCAGCCTGTTAGGGTCAGATAGGGGTAGACATGCACTTTGCAATAACACCAAGCTAGCGGTCATGGGGTTTCTGTGTCTTTGGGCTAACAAGTCTTCTGGTATTAACAAATAAAGTTGTTTTTTTAGTAACTAACATTTTAAGGGGGGACTGTTGTAGAATTATAGAATTTATAAGAGAATGCTTTGTCAGGAAGAAATGTGCGTCAGCGGAACAATGTGTTCATCAAGAATGAAACATTGTGGCTGCTGAGCGACATGTTGATCTCAATAAAGTATGTGTCAGCTGAATAATAAAATGTGTATCTACTAAAAAAAACTTGAAAACTAAGCTTGAAACTAATAATGCCAACTACTCAAAATTGCTGCCAAAGCACCCCTCCCATCGAGTGGACACCTCGTGCTTGTGTCAACTCCCGTGTCAAGGATGACATCACCTCTAAATGGGAGGGCATCTAACTAACCACTTAACACCTGAACCAATCAATAGTGTTTATTTGCTGTTATCTTGAATTCTTCAGTGATGTAAAAATGCCTTTATAAGGGTCTGCGCACCCATTTTCTGTTAGAAGCCATTAAACTTCTCCGAAGTTCTTTCATTAACCTGAACTCTGTGTCTCAGTGTGAATTTACTTCTGCGTGCACGCAACTTTATTATCATTAATTTGGACAGGAACAGATAGTTATTCAAACTAATTGGTTTGCAGAAAATAATCTACTACACTACCAAATTGTCACCTTTTGAATTGATGACAGGAAGAAAGATGGTTTTACCACAGCATTTACTATATCGTACTTCGGATCATAACTTGATCAATGCTGCCACTACACATCAGTATATCAAAGATTTGCGCAAGCATTTACAGCATGCGTTTGCTTTTGCCCAAAAGAATCTAGAAAAAGCAGCGACAGGGGTTAAGACCTATTACGATTTAAAAACCACGAAAAAGGAATATGAGATAACAGACCAAGTCTATCCGTATAACTTTGCGCAAAATCAAGTCAAGGAAAATAAATTTTTACCTTCTTGGAAAGGGCCATATGTCATCATTGACAAAATTTCCCCAGTAGCGTATAAGATAAAAATTCCTAAGAATGGTGATTTTCTTGAAAAGTGGGTTCACATTAACCAGTTGCGTGCTTGCCATCCTAAATCTCAATTAAGGATTATAGGTGTGGATTCGGACGCAGAAGTGTGAACGACTAACCTAGATGAATGCTTGATTCACGTGGTATAGCATAATGTGAAATGTCGTGATGTGCCATGATCTCATGTACGTTCATGTCATTAACCATTTCCTTGCCATCCAATAACTACATTTTTAAGCAGGTTACTAGCTTGTTTAGCTGCTATAGGCAAATTGCTGAGGAGTCAGTAATAAATGTAGTGAGGGATGAAGTTATAAAAATAGAATTAGAGAGAATACATATGTTGATGAATCATAATAATGTGTTGTCCTAGGCCAAGTGATGTCATACTGTTATAAGTTTGTATGCTTAACAAACCTTGAATCATTAGTAGATAAGTCTGAAACGAGTTCCTGATCCGTGACTGTCGAAAGATGTCAAAGAAGGATGTGGCGTGTTTCTGGATCGTACTGCTCCTGTGCCAAGAGCTACGGACCGACCCGATCGCAGAGATGGCACCATCCTCCAGCATCCTGATTCAAGAGACACCAGGGTTCATCTTAACGGAGAAGAGGATCCTGACCCGACGTGTGTTCGTCAGCTTGGACCCCAAGATTTCCATCGAGAAGGCATACAACATTTCATCGATGCAGCTTCCTGAGTTACAGACTTGGTACCAGATGCACCTCCAAAGAGCACAGGACCGTGTGCGAAACATCTTGGAGCAAGCCCGGAAACCATTTGTATCCAGTACTATTCCGATGAACAACCGACCCAAAAGGTTCCTCACCGCTATAATTGTTGCATTAGTTTGTGCCACTGTCGGTGCAGTCGTCGCAACTGGAATGTCTGCAGCCAACTCTATTACTGCCCAAAAGCTGGATATGGAAATCTATGCACTAAAGTAGCACATAAACGATATTCATCAGGTGATAAACCAGCAAAGAACACTTCTCCAAGATGTGTTAACTATTGAGGAAGACACAGTTGTTACAACAAATTTGCATTCGGAGTTAATTGCCAAATCCACTGAGTTGCACCAAAGTCATGACTTATTTAAGCGTGAACTTCTATTTCTGCATGACCCAATATTGTTCCACACACTTGCTTTTCTTGACGAAGTGCAAACTGGAATGATCGAATTGGCAGGGGGACGCATACCTCTGTACTTTGTATCCAAGGATATTGTTCATGCGATGCTTGCCAATGTGGATGGAGAAACAATTGAGCCTATGCAATTAAATCTGGCCTTTGAGATGGGGAGCGCTATAACTCTCTTAATCGATCCGGAACGCATAGAGATTTGCTTTTTATTGGCCATAACATATGTAACTCCCAAAAACATTTTTCAAATGAAAACAATCTACAATGTCGGTACATGGAAGGAAAATATCCACGTAAAAGTCCAAACCCCAGATGTTTTGGCTTTTCAACCGTGGATATCAGATTGGTATTCAATACCCATTTTGAATGACTGTGAAAAATTCAAAGACAATAATTTCCAATGTGATGGAAAACCTTTTGTGTACGATTCTACCAATGTTTTGTGTGGGATCGAGTACCTTAAACATGGCTCTGAAACATGTCAAGTAACTATGTCAAAAACTGACAGTAATGCGTTAGTACATGCTATCTTCGTAAAAGATAAATGGTTGGTAAGCACGTGTCTTAAAAACATAAGTGTTTTTCGCAGGGACCAGGTGACTAATAAAGTAATTGCCTTACCAGCACCTGTCTCACTGATCAAGGTACCCCGCAACTCTCGTATCAACATGGGTTATGTTACGCTATACCCAGTGTACACTGACGTCATCGAAAGTGCTATTGAGATGGTGGATCCTTTCCAGAATCTAGATATCCCTCTAGATCCTAATCTAAAGTTCTTGCTGGACCACAAGCCCAACCACACTATTCAAGTGTCAATCAGAAAAGATAACATTTAAATACTCTGAGCTAGATACTGACCTTATTGCTCGTGTTGACTGGTTCATCCATGTTAAGATTGTTATTGGGTGTGCTATGATAATAATGTTATTATGGTTGATCGTACTAAGTGTAAAGTTCAAAACTATTACAGGTACAAATACATACAAAAATGTTCATTCCACGCACAGGCCTATGTTAGAAATGATGTGATTGCGCAATATGTCTGGTAACTTCTATAGTGCTTATTCATAAGCTAAATTAATTTTGGCTACGAAATGCACTAAAGGGGGGTTATGTCAGAGTATTTATATCGGCAGACATCTTGTGCTATAATAGAAATTAAAAGTGTATATGCTGAGTCACTTTTGAACAGAGCAGACTCCATTTTGTTATTTTCAAGTTAACAAAGAGACACGAAATTTCTATCCTTTCTGTAAAACTAACCACTTTGCCAGAGCTAAAGGAATGCATAGTATATACAAACCAAGTGATAAGGAGAACGGGGGTTGGACAGACTGTCTAAATGCTAATGGAATAGATCAATTCTAAACCCAGACATTGGTGACAGAGAAGATTAAATAATAAAATTTTACTTTCTATATGTATAAGGTACCATTGTACGGAAAAGGTTAAACTTAGTTCATGAACTGCCATTTTAGAAATTATAGCAGGAATTGCGGACACTAAGTCTGGACAAAACTAAAAGAAAACCCTTTGAAGTGAAAGGAAACGTAAGTTATGGCCACTATAAAGATAAGCCAAAATGACGTCAAAATAGCCACCAGGAAAAGTTAACTCTTTCCTGGATAGGTATGTTTAGTGGGACAAGACTGCCCTCTATAGATCAAATAACTAAATTGCGATCTGGAAGATAACCACACCCCAGTGTTGCTATTGGTTTACCAACTAGTGAACTTTCCCTTTAAAAAGTTAGGACAAAGGCAAGACAGGAAAGTTGAGAAGGAAAAAGAGGAGAGAGGAATTGGAAGTTTGGGGACTCCAACTCGGACATGCAGAGAAACCCAGGACAACATCTGAGACTAACACTCTACTCTTAAAACTCTAACACTTAGAATTTTACTGACTTTCTAACCAACACCACCTTTCACCATAACTCATGCACCTACAGACATCCAAATAAGTTCCTGAGACTATCTACCAATCGTATGAAATATCTACTCAACTGGTAATTATACTGGTTTCATTTAATTAATTAAATTAATTAAAATTTACTAATAGCATGATATATGACTGGATAAATCACGGTCAGATTTCCACATTAAGAAATCTTAGTTAACTAAAGAATATATAGTTATAAACATTCCATTCTGCAGGTGGAATTAAGAATAATTATATATTAAGGTGATATTATCACGTGTTAGCATACCGCTGTTTTTATCCAGGTGTATTGATTTGCTCTAATATAAGATAAGATATCTTTTTAGACAAATTAAATTCTGCTTTTGTAAAAATCATGGTAGATTCTCTTATTTGATGGTTCCAGGAAATGACTAATGAACTGGTTTAAATGTTATTTTATTTAAAATTACATAAGAATAGATCTTAATTACCTAGGAGATCTAGCCAGCATTGAAAGGGTTATTCAGTTGATCTAACTGTTAGCCAGGGTTTTATGGCCCTTCGCTGTGAAAAGCTTCGCTTTCTATGTCTGTAAGGATACCTCATAAATCGTGTAAGTCTTGACAGAAAATGCTGTTTAGCCATTGAAACGTGTATACCCATTGTATTGCATTGTATACTATGTTGTACTAAATACTAATTGATTATTGTCACGCATGTTACATATTATTATTAATTAATTTGTTATTATAAAATAAAATATTTTTATAAAATTGTGATTTTATTTATAGGAAATACTTTTCACTTAACATGATAACGATCTTTGGGATCTGAGAATTGAATTAGTGGGCAATTCTCACTGTTTACTATTATTATCCCATAAATATTCAGAGTGTGTGTTAGTGTAATGAATGCAGAGTGTGTGTGTGTTTACTAGTGTATGCATGTAATGTAATGTAATTAATGTTACTCCCCTCTCCATGCTTCTTACCTGGTTCAGGTAGGGGGGAAGATTCCATGATCCCTGTTGGTCCGGTGGCATTGTGGGGCTCCCTGTATTTGCAGAGAAGGCCCAGCGGACTGCAGGAGCACTTTACAGCTCTTCCCTGTCTCTAACTCCCGCGAGACGTGGTGTGCGCGACGCGTGGAACGTTGCCATGGTAATCCATGGCAACGCTCTAACGGCCGCAGGTCTCGCGAGAGTTAGAGACAGGGAAAAGCTGTAAAGTGCTCCTATAGTCCGCTGTGCCCCCTCTGCAAATACAGGGAGCTGGGGGCCCGCGGCTGCACCTATATATAGCGATCATTGTTCTGGTTGTCACCCCCTGATGGTGGCCCTGTATCTGAGAGTCAAATTGTAAACATTCTTATTTTCTGGGTGCTAATCTGCTAAATAGTACTTTTTGGGGCCTGCTCTTCATATCTGAGAGTCAAATCGAAGCGTCTAATAGTGCGCTTACAGCGCAGTTGTAAACATTCTAATTGTTTTGCTGCTAATCTGCTAAATAGCACATTTTGGGGCCTGCTCTTCATATCTGAGAGTCAAATCGAAGCGTCTAATAGTGCGCTTACAGCGCAGTTGTAAAAATTCTTATTTTGTGGTTTCTAATCTGCTAAATAGTACATTTTGGGGCCTGCTCTTCATATCTGAGAGTCAAATAGAAGCGTCTGATAGTGTGCTTGCAGCGCAGTTGTAAACATTCTAATTGTTTTTCTGCTAATCTGCTAAATAGTACGTTTTGGGGCCTGGTCTTCATATCTGAGAGTCAAATGGAAGTGTAAATAGTGCGCTTACAGCGCAGTTGTGAACAATCTAATTGTTTTGCTGCTAATTTGCTAAATAGTACTTTTTGGGGCCTGCTCTTCATATCTGAGAGTCAAATTGAAGCGTCTGTGGCGGAACCAACCTCGCCACTGTCCACTGGAGAGGCCTGGTTGCTCGCCTGCTCCCTTTAGACTATGGTTCTGCATTTTAAACTTTTATTTTACCGGCAGAAAGGTTTATTCATGCCTTTCTGCGGACTGTTAAAGCCATGCTACCCCAGATAGCTATGCCGTGGAGCCCAGCCGTATACTGAAAGACTGTATGAAAGACTTTGGCTCCATGGCGATTGAACTGTATGTATGTGATCTGAGCGCCATTCGGTAGTAATGTGCGCTCATATCTAAGCTATCTGGGGATATGTAGAATGTATATGTTTTAGGTAATAAATGTGGCTTTATGTAATTTTATGTCTTTTACTGTATTGTTACTGCCATGTGGTTAATGGAGTTTTGCCTCTGTCATGGGAGATAAGTGGATTACTTCCCAATTAACTTCCCAATTATCTCCAGGACAGAGAGGAGGGATTGTGATGTAATTGTGGGAGTGCTTAAAGGTGTATGTCTGTGATATGTTTCCCAGTTTCCCATTTGGTCCCCTAGGGGAGTGTCGACCAGGTGGGAGACCTGCATAAAAGCCGGGCAGTTAGCCCCAGTAAACCTGTTCCTGCTTAACCCTCAAAGTGAAGTGTCGTCTCATTATTGGGGGAGGATTTACTGTATGCTGTTAGAGACTGATTGCCAGGAGTGTAAGCCGCTTGGGTTTTTTTCCTGTTCGTCTGCTAGCAGTTATTCGTGTGTCTCCAGTTCGGGAGTTTCGAGTATTCTCTGGGTTTGCAGTTCAGGAGATTGGTGCTTGCAGTAGCTGTCGGTGCAGCTGAAAAAGGGGAATATCACCTAAACGGTTTTTAACCTCTTTTGGGCAAAACGGTCCGTTACAGCGTCAAATAGTGCACTTACAGCGCAGTTGTAAACATTCTAATTTTCTGCGTGCTAAATAGTACATTTGTGGTGTGCACTTCATATCTGGTGTATGTGTTCAACACTGGCTTGTTACCGCTTCTCAAGAAAGTCTAAAGACAAATAAATATTGCCTATGGTGCAGGTAGTATAGAAGGCAAGACCAGTGGCGTCTCTAGGATTCATGGAGGGCCAGGGACAAAAGTAGGGGGGCACATTTAACCGCCCTCGCCGCAGTTTGACCCCGCTCCTGCCGCATGTTAAGCCCCGCCCCCGATACAATGTTTTTTGTTTTTTTTTAATAATCCCTGGTGGAGGATTCATTATTTTCCACCAGGCATTAATAAAAAAACAAACATTTCCCTTGATATAGTGCCATAGTTGCCAACATTTGAGACATTGGGACAGTCAGCACTCCCTGTACAGTGCTGCTCTCTATATAATACATGGCTGTGTGTATAATATCCTGGGACAGTCAGTGCTCCCTGTATAGTGCTGCTCTCTGTATAATACAGATCTGTTTGTGTATAATATCCCAAGACAGAGAGCAGCACTATACAGGGAACACTGATTGTCCCAGGATAGTATACAGACACAGACCTGTATTATACAGAGAACAGCACTATAGTATTATACAGATATCTGAGCATATACCCCATGTCCCAATCTCACTACTACTAGTACCTGTCATCAGCAGCTCCCAGATGCGTGTAACAGGGCTAAAGTGTGCGGCATCTCACACAGATGATTCAGCGGCTGGCAGAGCCAAACTGGAAAGCAGCCCTGAAAAAAAAATGTATGCCATTCCTACAGGTCAATATATATATTGTACAGTGAGCACACAAGCTTACTGACATGCGCAAATAGGCTTACTACAGACAAACTCACTTGTATAAACACAAGGCTTACTACAAAGAAGTTCAGGGACACACACACGCTCACTAAAGACAAGCTCACTGACACACACATGCTTACTAAATAGAAGCTCACTGACACACACAAGCAGTACCATCTTAACAGTGTTAAGGGCCCCCGGGAAAAGCAGTGCTCTGGGGCCCTTCCTATACAACAACTCACAGGAAAAAAATGTGTAATTATTGATAGACTGCTGAGTACATACACACAGTACACAAATATGAACACCGAGAGACTTCTGAATACACACACACAGATTTCTGAATGCACACAGACTCCTGAATGCACACAGGCTGATTTATACACTTACACACAGACTGCAGAGTCCATACACACACACAGACATACAGACTGCTGAGTCCATAGACTGCTGAGTCCATATACACACACAGACAGACACACAGACTTCTGAGACCATACACACACACACACACAGACTGCTGAGTCCATACAGACACACAGACCGCTGAGTCCATACACACACACAGACTGCTGAGTCCACACACACAGACTGCTGAGTCTATACACACACACACAGACTGCTGAGTCCATACACACACACAGACTGCTGAGTCCATACACACACACACAGACTGCTGAGTCCATACACACACACAGACATACAGACTGCTGAGTCCATAGACTGCTGAGTCCATATACACACACAGACAGGCACACAGACTTCTGAGCCCATATACACACACACACACACACACACACAGACTGCTGAGTCCATACACACACACAGGCTGCTGAGTCCATACAGACACACAGACTGCTGAGTCCATACACACACATATACACACACAGACTGCTGAGTCCACACACACACACACAGACTGCTGAGTCCATACACACACATATACACACACAGACTGCTGAGTCCACACACACACAGACTGCTAAGTCCATACACCCACACAGACTGCTGAGTCCATACATACACACACACACAGACTGCTAAGTCCAAATACACACACACACACAGACTGTAAACACAAAAAGAATTTAAAGTGCATAAAGAGTGCAATAAAAAGAGGATTGGTACAATAAAGTAGCCAAAAAACTTTTATTGATCTAGAATAAAAAAATTCTGAAGAAGCCACTTATGGTGAAACGCGTTTATGGTTATTAATTCTGTATTTTACTGTGTATTTTAGATCAATAAAAGTTTTTTGGCTACTTTATTGTACCAATCCTCTTTTTATTGCACTGTTTATGCACTTTAAACAACTTTTTTTTACCTATCCCTGGCATTTTAACCTTTCCTGGTTACTTTTACTTCCACTGGCAATTTTAAAGTTCCAGTATTCCAAGAAATCCTAGGTGGGGATCATACCACCAGCGCCTATCCATAGAGCAGTACCTCTGCTCTATCTTTGTGAGTATCATTTTATTTTCTCTATTACTCTCTTAACCTATCACAATTGAGAGCACTATTGCTGCTTTTTATTCTTCTATATTGGAGCCTTGGATCACCAGACGGTGCTGACGGACGTATCGCCGCTACATATCCTATAAGCGGGGATTATACCGCTGTACGCTATCCACACCAGAGCTGGCCATAGCTCCCTCAAATGTGAGTTTTTTACCTCTTCTTATCTGCACATTGAACCACATCAAAATTGAGAGCACTATTGTTGCTTTCTGTCTTTCTTTTCCGAGTTCTGGACTACCAGACGGTGTTGACGGAGACTCCCTCCCTACATATTCCATAAGCGGGGATTATACCGCTGTACGCAATCCACACCAGAGCTGGCCATAGCTCTCTTGAATGTGAGTTCTTTACTTTTTGTTACCTATCACACCCTGAACTTTCATACTATACCATTAGTCGCCTCTACCTCTCTTGTATTTACATATACGGAACTATACGACACTAGACGCATCCACAGAGGAACTCTATCAAGTATCCTAGACTATCTATTGGCACCCTAGCAATACTTTACTGGACTATCTACCCTTATTTGGCGCAGCCCTTCCATATCTTTTTGTATCTATCCACCGAAGGACCTGAGGCGTTTTCCTTCATTTGGGTTGCTGCCTACCTTGACTAATTTTGTGATTACTAGCGCTGAATTCTTTTTGTGTTTACATACACACATACAGACTGCTGAGTCCATACACACACACACACACACACACACACACACACAGACTGCTGAGTCCATAAACACACACACACACACACAGACTGCTGAGTCCATACACACACACACACACACACACAGACTGCTGAGTCCATACACACACACACACACACACAAACAGACTGCTGAGTCCACAGCCTGAGGGAATAGAATTTATGCACATGGCCAGCAAGTTGCCAGCATTTGGGGGGCCACAGCATGATGTAGGGGGGGGGGCATGGCCCCCTCTGACCCCCCCTAGCGACGCCACTGGGCAAAACTGAGACAAATCATTCGGGTTACGTTTGCTTGTTGACATGTTAATTATCTTAGACCATTAAAATTCAATAATCAATGAAAAAACACACTAAGTGTCATACAAAAATATATATTATAGACAAGTTAAAAACAAGACTACAAGTCATGCTATAACAAAATTAAATAAGTTTTAAAATATGTATGGGCCAACCAGTGGCTGTAAAAACAAAGTTTTACTGGTTACATTCATGACTACACACTCTAGTGAACAGAACCTTCATGTAGTGTGTTCTTTTTAAAAAAAAAAATCATACAGCATCCTTTCATGTGCTTTTCAGATGTCATATTGTTAATTAACAATTTTTGTTTAGCCTGATTTTTTTTTTTTAAAGTGAAAAATAAGTGTTATTGTGATCGTTTCATATACAGAAGCATTAATATACATTTCTATATTGTGTAAAGACACAACTACAAAGTTAAAAACCAAACACCAAAACAACGTGCCAGACAATCTACCTGTGCATGGCTAGTGTGATACAATAAGTCTACATCTTAAAAATGCAATAACCCACAGAAGATGGGCGAGAATTTTTTTTTATTCGAATTTACTTCATTGGTCATTTGTAATATTGTTTCAAACCTACAACACTTGTTACACAGATTTAAGTGATAGAAAACAGATTGACATTTTCTACACTAGAAACTACCAAGCTGCTATATTTAAACCAGTTATCAATAGCTAAGAGGTACTTAAACAATATTGTAATTCTGGGGCAATACCCTCACAAGAAAAACTGAAAGGTCAGTTTATAGGGAAAACTGTTGCCTGGATACAATTCTAAAACAATTTCCATATGTCCTTTGCAGACTTTGCATGCTGGAAAAACACAGGTGCCAACTGCTGTGGCTTTCTGCAGTGTGCATACCTGCAAGGAGGGCAGGGTTGAGGAGTGGGTGGAAGATGATGTGCAGGATGATGAGGTCCTAGACCCCACATGGAATCAAGGTCATGCGAGTGACGTGTGCAGCTTGGAGGAAGAGACGCTGGTCGCACAAAGGCACCAGCACAGCATAAGAGGGAGTAGGGTGCAAAAGCGGAGCGGCTGTCCCCTAGCGCTCGTCGGCATGTATTATCTTTAGAATTCCCAGTTATCCAAGTAACAGTTGAAGCGATAAAAAGAACCATAACAGATTTAACTAGCCATTCGCAGTTTCTGGGCGGCGGTCGGACGACCGGGACCCAGTATGCCTGATGTAGTCAGAGTGTGGAATGGATTAGCAGGGTCTGGTGCAGGGTGACCGCACACCCCTGGTGTTGAGCACCAGCGTATGTACAGCCACATACCAGGACCCTGATGAAGCTTCAGTAAAAAGAGTACTGGATACCAGAAGCCATCACCAGACTGATTTGAAACTAGGAACAGGATGTAACATTCACTGTAGCGTCTGTGCACGCTTTCATGGTTCTCACCCTGCTGCTGCTCGCCTGTCTGTGCTGCAGCATAACTTTGACCTTCCCGCTCACTGCCTCATATGCGACATGCCCACAAGGTGGAGAGATTGTTTGAGCAGCAGCAGGTGATAGTGGAGTTTCCGCTGCAGCACGCACAGGTCAGTGGCTCTGCACCAGACTTGCCCTCCAATTGATCAGAGTTAAAGGATTTCAAGTGGACGCATTACAACTACAGGGCCTCTAAAGAGTCCTGTATTGTTATTTGTCGTCACTACCTTCCCGCATCGGGAGTGGGTCATTTGCGCGCCTGCTGCCTTGCTTGCATGTGTAAGCCGTTTGTCAGGGTCCCTGTACGGAATCGAAGCCTGATTCCCCGTTACCCGTGGTCACCATGGTAGGCGCAGTCAATGGCATCGAAAGTTGATATGGATTGACATACGAATGCGTAGTCGCCTTCTCGTTGGGGAGCACATTGAAAAAGTGCTCGAGCATGACAAGCTGGGTGATCTCCTCCGGGAACTTGATGGGAGTTGAGCTAGTTATGGGTGGCTCTTGTGATGCCACGGTGTATACCCAGATATATCAGAGCTGCTGCAGAAAGTGCATGCCGTCTGTTCGTGCTTTTGGAGTTCTCACCCTGCTGCTGCTCGCCTGTCTGCGCCGCAGCGTAACTTCGGCCTTCCCCCTCACCGCCTCATGAGACTGTGCGAGCAGCAGCAGGCGATAGTGTAGTTTTAAATGCAGCACGCACGGGTCAGTCGCTCTGTGGAACAGTTTTCTTTTTTTAGATGTCCCAATATTTTGGGGGCTACCCCAATTAAAATTAAGAAATATATATATATATATAATAAAAAACAGTGTTGGCTACCTCCTCCTCCTCCACTGCCGCTTCCACCTACACTTCCACCACGGTCACCGCCTCATCAACTTTTGAGTCACTTAGTATAAACTATGAATACAATAGCAGAGGCTTGTGAAGGCCTTTCCTCCATGCATCAGGAGTTGAGCTCAGTTTGAACAATGAAAGAGAATATCCTGCACTCCAACCCTCTCTTAAATGGATAATTCTGGTGATCCTCCTCACAGCCATGCTTTAGATTTTGATTTATGTTCTTGCAAAGCTAAAATCAAAGATTCCATCTAGTGCTATTTTATGGCTCAGCTGTATTTTTTATTTTTATGTTATTTTAAGTGATTTCCCTATCCACATTTGTTTGCAGGGCACTTGTCCTACTCTTACCCCCATTTTACTTCCCGCTGGACCCGAACATCCAGGTGTCCGCTCAACTCTAGTGCCCTTTTCTAGTTGGGGTCCCATTGTGGCCATTAAAGTATAAAACTGAAGAAATCTTCCACCTTATGTGCAGAGGTGGGGTTCCCCGGCTTCCCTCCTAGGCCCCCCCTCCCTGTGTTAGTAGCTTAGGGTTGGGTTGTGGGTCATGAGACCTGAGGGGCAATATGTATTTACGTTTATGGGGTTGTGAATTAGTGGAACCCCTGGCTAGCTGACCTCTCTTCCCATCTAATTCCTTCTCTTCCCCTCCCATTCAGGCCTCTACCTTCATTGCTGGCATGGCAGTCCATGATGGGCCAGGTATATTCGGCACCTTTAGTACATTTGACTCATAACATTTGGTTGGTTACTTAATCCACCAATCAGAGAGTTATGAGTCAAATTACACAGCGTGGGAAAATTCCAAAGAACTTTCCCACGCTGTGTAAAATGACACAGAGCAATCTGATTGGTGGATTTCAAACCAACCAATCAGAGTGATGTGACAGGTAAATGTAGAGACTTACCTGTCAGTCTCTTCATTTACCTGTCACATCACTCTGATTGGATGGCTTAAATCCACCAATCAGAGTGCTCTGATCCTAATTGCAGGGTATATAAGCCTTCCCCCGCCCTGCAGAGCTCAGTCTGCGCGGAGCCCTCGCCGGGTGAAGATGGATTATTTTTTTTTGCGCTCTTTTTTTTTTTTTTCTTGCGTCAGTTATTATGGCTTTTTATTTGGCCTTTTTTGGGGCTGAAAAAAGAAGATTTTAGAAGAAAGAAGACATCGAATGGTAAGTTTTATTTTTTTTTACAGGTACTTAGTTAGGTCCCCCCCCTCATTATTTTTAGGGTGAGGGGGGTAGGTAGGGGGTTAATTTTTTGGGGGGAGGGAGGGGGTGACTACGGGCTTTGTGGCCCCTAGTCACCTGGGGGGGTAACATTTTTTTTAGGGCCCCCACCTGCCGCTCAGGGGTGGGGGCTGGGGGGAAGAACAATAGGTCCCCCCTATTGGTATTTAGGGTCCCCACCTGCCGCTCAGAGGTGGGGGCCGGGGGGAGGACATTAGGTCTTCCCTTATTAGTATTTAGGGCCCCCACCCACTGCTCAGGGGTGGGGGCCAGGGGGGAGGACATTAGGTCCCCCCTTATTATTATTTAGGGCCCCCACCCACCGCTCGGGGGTAGGGGCCAGGGGGAAGGACATTATTCCAATTTAGGGCCCCCACCCACCACTCAGGGATGGGGCCAGGGTGGAGGACATTAATATTTAGGGACCCACCCACCGCTCAGGGGTGAGGCCCAGGGGGAGGACATTAGGCCCCCCTTATTATAATTTAGGGCCCCCATCCACCGCTCAGGGGTGGGGGACAGGGGGGAGGACATTAGGTCCACCCCCTTATTCTGATTTAGGGCTCACACTCGCTGTTCAGGGGTGGGGGCCAGGGGGAGGACAATAGGCCCCCCCCCATTATTTGACATTTAGTTTAAAAGCCCCCACTCGCTCGGGAGGGGGGGACCTTTTTTTTTTTTTAACAGTGAGCAGCCACAGGCTGCTCACTGTTTACTAGACATGCCCCTACTTGCGGTATAGTGAGTAGGGGCATAATTTACTAATACTAAGTAATATTTACTTAGTATTAGTAAATTTGTCTGAAAGACCAATTTAGGTCTTTCAGCCTTTTAGTAGATAGCTCCCTAATACCGTGGGAATTAGGGAGTTATCTACTTATTCATTCCTGTCATTACATTGACTGGCTAAGTAACTTACATTTTATATGAATGTATGTTACTTGATTGTTGTAAGTGTTGCAAATGCTTACAGCTGAATCCTGGCTATGTTTGTATACTTTTTATTTAACCCCTTCAGGACACAGGACGGTGCAGGACCGTCCTCGGCATTTTTGCGTTGCCGACCGAGGACGGTCCTGAACCGTCCTAACGGAAAACGGCGGCGGGAGCGATCAGAGATCACTTCCGCCGAAATCCCGTTGTTACTATCTGCCCGGCATCCCAGGCAGATAGTAACAGCCAATTGCGGCATGTGAGCGATCCGCGATCGCTCACAATTGGCTGGTGTCAAAGTGGGTGGTACAAACACTCACTTTGACACTGATCTCTGCCTCTCTCCCCTCTGTAGTGTTTTGTGAGGGGAGAGAGACAGAGACAGTGATAGTTTGTTGCAGCAGGTGTTCCAGAGATTATTAAAAAGTATCAGCAGTGAATAAAAATTCCCTTTTAACCCCTTCCCTGCCAGATCTGTTACAGAGAGTGCATTTGTACTGTCTGTATTTTTTTTTGCCCTCAAGGGTTAACTTTATTTTAAATAAATCTGTGTCTTAGACTGTCGTAGTCTGTCGTAGTCTGTCGTAGTCTGTCAGTTTCCTTCCCCCAAATCTCCATTAGATTCTTCTAACAGGAGTTAGTTTTGCTGTTTTAGTCTGTTTTAGTGTAAAAAAAAAAATATTTTTTTTTTTATTGTGTTTAGTATTTTGTTAGTTTAGTCTGTTAGTGTGAAACATGCAGCGCATGTACAGCTTGGAGGAGGCATATGCCTTCTTGGCGTCAGACTGACGCCACTGACACTGCGTCCGATTTTGACCCAGGTCAGTTTAGCGGCACATCTAGTGACATGTCATCTGTGTGTGAGCCAGCTGCTAAAAGAAGCTGTGCTTCCCCTGCTACGCCGAATGTGGAGGAGGACTGGGTACCTCCACAGTCAGCTGAGCCCAACATCCCCCCCTTTTAGTGCCAAAGCGGGCATTAATGTGAATGTTGACTTCTCCCCTATACAATATATGGAGTTATTTTTAGGGGATACCATCTGGGAGCAGATTGTTTCCCAGACTAATTTATATGCTAGCCAATTTATTGAGACCAATCCAGGTAGCTATACAGTCAGGGAGCATGCTTGGCATCCCACAGATGTCCCTGAACTTAAAACATTCTAGGCTCTTATCATGCTCATGGGGATAATAAAGAAGCCATCAATCCGCTCTTACTGGAGCACCAACCCAATTTGTTCGACTCCTATATACTCCCAAACAATGCCTAGACCAAGATATGAGCTGCTGCTGAGATACTTACATTTCAACGACAATACCCTCTGTCACCCCAGAGATCACCCCAATACGATAGGCTTCATAAAATACGCCCACTGGTAGACCATCTTCAGAACAGCTTTTCTGAAGTTTATACTCCCCAACAAAATTTATCTATTGATGAATCCCTTATGAAATATAAAGGTAGATTAGGGTTCAAACAGTATATCCCCTCAAAGCGGTCTAGGTATGGCATTAAAGTGTACAAACTGTGCGAGAGCGAAAGTGGCTACACATTTGCCTTTCGTGTATATGAGGGGAACTGAACCCTCCTGGCTGTACTGACTCTTTGGGGACTAGCGGGAAACTTGTTTTTGACCTTTATGTGGACAATTTTTATAGCATTGTCCGTTTGTTTCAAACTCTTTAGGGTTTCTAGATACTGGTCTGTGGCAATGTGAGAAGATTTCCCCAGACCTTTTATAGAGGCCAAATGAAAAAAAAGTGAATGTAAAGGTCTGCACATAGCTAAAGCGCTTGCAATAAAATTTAAGGACAGGAAGGATGTTAATATACTAACCATTATCCATGACGAAAGCATGTCAGACGTCACTGTCCGAGGCAGAGTACAGACCAAACCTGTTTGCATCAGGGCTTATAAAATGCACATGGGGGTGTTGATTTGGCTGATCAGCTGATGCAGCCATATCTTATCTTAAGAAAGACAAAAGCCTGGTATAAAAAGGTAGCTATCTACCTGATGCAAGTAGCAACACATAATTCATTTTTACTCTTTAAAAAAATTAATCCAGAAAGAACCACCTTTCTCCAATTTTAGTTCAAGCTGATTTCCACAATAATTTATGGAGATGGTCAAGTTCCAACAATGGTGCCAGAGGAGTCCAGATATTTTATTTTTAAGATACCGCCAACTGCAAAAAAAACAAATCCCCTGAAATGTTGCTGGGTCTGTTATAAAAAAGGGAAAAGGACAGACACCCCTTTGCACTGTTTTTTTTCTTTTGAAAGCAGCAAATTTTAGTTAGTCAGTTTCCTTCCGCCCAAATCTCCAGTTAGATTCTTTTTGCAGGAGTTAGTTTAGAGAATGCTGCTAAAGGTGCATTTGATACCTGCACATTTGGTTAAAAATGTTTTATGGTAGTAACATATAACTGGCTGGCCAAAACCAG